GAGCCAGGGAAGTTGGTCCTCTACTGAAGCGTGGAGAATTCTTTCTGAAATGGGCTAGTAGCTATATGATTGCATATTTTACAGCTAGGTGCTAAAGTCACAGACTGGCAGCTTGGCTTAAAGGTTCTCTATCTGTGAAGGCTGCATGTACTCTGTTCCTGAATGTTGGAGTCTGCAACATCCTGGGTGTCCTTTGCCTAAACATCTCTCCCAAAGCTGTTAAACAAAAGTTCTTCAAGCTTTAGAACATTGGTGTGGAAATCAGTTCTATCTGTCGCCACTGGAGGGTGGGTAAGTGTTTTTGGGGTAGCAATGGAACTGTAAACCCTAGACAGGCTTCTTTGGCTGTGATTGCTACACTTTTATTTCTATTTGTTTCAAAAATTGCATGCAGACAAAACTGTTTAGCAAAAGAGACAGTTAAGGTTGGGGGGAAAAACCCCATATGGCTATAACACTGCTTAGGGCGCTTTTAATGGTTGCCTTTCATTCACATGATTTCATTGTGAAAATTGGTGTCACCCTCTTGAATTACAAAAGCTGTGCTATAAAATTATAAATATTTAGGCAGCTCAAACAGCTCACACACTGTAAATTTAGGTGATTTGTGTTTCTGTAGTATTATATTTTTGTGAATTAAATTGTATCTCTAGCCAAATTAGTATTTGGCTAAAGTAGGGAATGGTTAAAGCCCTGAGGTTTTCTTTCTTACTCTATGTGCCACATTGGGGACCTTTCTCTTTACTCTCTCCTACAGAGATACAACAGGAAGTGAGAGAAAATGTCTCCAAATTGAGGAGAATTCCCCTCTGACACAGTTATCACCAGAACAGGTGTCCCCATGGGAAGACTCACCTTCTGTTGCAGTGACAACCATAACATTTTGGATTTCCTATGACTTCCACTGGGAAAACAATTAAGAGGGTGACTCTTCCCAGCGGAGGCACATGCAGCAATAAAAACCTAACAGAAGTTCTAATCCTTCCCTACTCTATCCAAAACAAAAAAAAAACCTTAAAGCAGAACTCTACACAAATATTAGGAAGATAAAAAAAATAGCCCAGTAAAAGATAAAACAAGAAAAACAACTTTGGCTGCAATAGTCACCTTCAGTCCAGCGATTTCCCACCGCAGTACTTTTCTTCTGCCACTAGATGTCCTCAGTCTGTTGGCCAGCATCATTCAGCTCATTTCCTCTAAGTGTATGAATACAATGTATGCCTGCTCTACCCTGCAAGCCCATCCTTTGCTTAGGTGTGCTTTGGTGCACGGAAGGGTTACCTTTCATCCCAAAATCCAGTTCAAAAGCAATGAATTCAGCATTAATTGACGATACACAGACAACAGCATACAAGGGACATGATCTGCTAACATATTTGAGTCACATATCTGATTGAAATACTGATGAAATGCAAAGAAATACTCTCCCCTCAGTAATACATATAAAAGCCTCATACAAAAGTTAATAAAACGGCTGCAGAAATCAATTAATTCCTTGCAGCAAAATAATTGAAATTAAATATTAATATATGGGGGATATTTAAAAGAGCAAGAAGGAACTTCTATAGTATTGAACTGTATGAAGTAGAGGCCGGAATGATACAGAGAGGGCTACAAGAGAGGGGTTATTATATCTGGTCTATGCAAAAGCGAGAAACATTGCGCTGCAGACAAGATAATGATAAAAAAAAAGCAGGAACAAACAAATTACTATTGTAAATTATTTTTGTGTAGAGTTTCTGAAAATGATTGAAATAATAAAAATATATATACTCGTCCTGTATGTTGATAGGCATCAAATCCTCAAAGCTGGGTGTCGCTTTTCTAGTTGGACAGCACCAATATTAGGCTCAATTTTATCACCAAGTTACCACAGTATAAAGAAGAACTCTGGAACATTGTCATCTTTAATGGACTCTTTAAACGCAGTACCGCTATTGTAGGGTAAATAGAAGAATCAAATTTATCAGGTCTTTGGTAACAGAAGAGTTTCCGATCAAGAGTTTGATCAATTGTAATACACGCTATGTGGTACACCTCAGTATTCCCTTCAATATGTGGGGTGTGCGACATGCCTGCTCAGGGTACGTGTTGGAGAACACTACGGGGATGGCTGTAATCTTGAGGCATATCGACCATCAATGTATCCAAGCACTTCTTTAATCACTTTTTTCCCTTTCTCTGGAATGGAAAGGATTGCCTTACCAGAGAGAGGTGGTAATTAACATAAGAAAATTGTAGAGGTGAGAAATGTTTTGAATCTAAACAGGGATCTTGATTGCCATCAGGACTTAAAATCACTCACCTCATAGTTCTCCTTTAACTCAACCTCATAGTTCGAGCCGACGTGTGACAATTAAACTGTCACATGTCGGCTCAATAGATCGGGAAGTGATCATCTCCCTGCAGAGAGCCCTGACTCTCAGCGCTGACTGGAGGAATGTATATGGAAGGGGGCGGGTACAGCTGGTTCCTCCTCTAGATAGGCAGAGCCAGCTGTCAATCACGCAGCTGGGTGGATCTCGACAGTAATGTCGGGATCCGTCCCGGCTGCAGCGTTCTCGGTATACCGCGAGCTGTAGCTCGCGGTATACTGAGCTTTGGGTCACGGGGGACGCTAGTTTATGTCCTCCCGTGACCCAGAGGAGAACTATGGGGAAAAACACGTACCCCATAGTTCTCCTTTAAAGGCTAAGTATACCCTTCTGACCATATTTCATGTTAAATTCACATCATACTCCAGCCCTCTTCCCTATTAATATGAAAATACACAACACTCGCAGTGGTGTATCTACTGCAAGACAAACTAGGCATTTGCCTAGGGCGGCACTTTCCAGCGGCCCAGGCAGAAGATGGGTAACTGCAGAAATAGACAGCCCAGCATATTAAGGCAGATGATCGGTGCTGCAGCTGCAGAACTAGAGACTAGTACAGCATGGCAGGGCAGGAGAGAATGGTTATTGTAGCTGCAGAACTAGGGAGCCCATCAAGCCAGAAATGGAGAAGGTGGCTATTGCAAAGGTAGAACTAGAGCATCCCGCTACATTGATAGCGCAACCTGTCAGAACCGTGCGCAATGTATCCTGCGACTGACAGGTTATTCAAAATGTAATAAACAGGAAGGGGTGGGACTAATTTAGATTAGGGATGGGAGGGTGCTCGGGTTTAGTCTTGCCTAGGGCAGCACAAAACCAAAATACACCACTGAGCACTTGTATATATTTTTTTCCACATTTTGTGGGATAGGGATATTTTAGGAAACTCCGGCTCAGATTATTGGAATAACAGTACAAAAAATGATAAATGCTCATTTTTTTCTTCAATGACAATGTGTGCATTTTTTTTTTTTTTTAAAGTGGACTTTACCTTTAACCCCCACTCAGACATAGATCTGGTTTTACGATAAAGTAATGTATTTCTGCTGTTTTGAAAATGATGGATTTTTCTTTAGCTGAAAGTTTAAATGGTTTCAGTAAGATTTTTTACAGTTTGTCCAGCATTTCTAAATATTTAGTTCTAATGACTTTTGCTGCAAGGACTTGATTGATTTTTGGAGAGATATATTAAATACTTTGGTGTAAAGTTTGCACAGTATAGGTATCAAAACTTGTCGTTTTTAAATGTGCACCTACAGGTGTTATTAATATTTCCCCCCTTCCATTTCCAGGAATTAAGCTATTTCTTTGCACTTCACTAGTAGTCTAATCAGCTAAGATTAAGACTGCTTGTGGCTGAAATGTGTAAGAAGACTGTGCACTTTGTAAGCTTCCGTCTGTGTATAATAAATTATTGGAGCTTGGAATTGAGTGCTGAACAGTGGCGTCACAAGGGGGGTGCCGGGGGTGTGGCCCACACCCGGGTGCCACCATTGGAGGGGTGACACCAAAATGACTGACAGTCATTTTGTTGTCACCCCTTATGAAATATCGGGCACTCGGTCACGGACCGAGAGCCCGACAGTGTCAGGAGAGAGGAGGGGACCCGGCGGCATACCTTATCCCGCCGGGTGAACGTCCCCTCCTCTCTCTGCCGGCGTCCATCACCAAGATGGCCGCCAGCCGGCGTCAAAAAGACCACTGCGCATGAGCGATTACGTCATCACGCACGCCCAGCAACATCACGTGCATGCGTGATCACGGCGGGGTGTCACCCGGTCCCCGCCCCCGGGTGACACCCACCCTCGGGACGCCACTGGTGCTGAATTAATTTTGCAATTCCTCTTGAACTCAAGTCATCCTGGATCCAGCCCCTTAAAGCATTTTCTGCATTAGGGTAAAAATGGCCCAGCACCTTTTTTTCTACCACAGTCCCCTCCACACTTACCTGTCAGCTTCGCTCGTCCCCGCCGCTAGTCCGAAGAGATCCTCCACTCCCCGAACTTCCGGGTTGCGGGGGGAGGATGCTGATGGCAGAGGAGCCATAGGCTCCTTCTGCCATCAATCAAAGAGGGAAGGGGTGTGGCATGCCACAGGGCTGTGTGTGTCTATGGACGCACACAGCCACTGTGGAAACGAGCGGGCATGAATGTGCACGGGTGCTTCCATTAGAACGATGGTGGCACCTGTGCAGGGGGCAGGGAGAAGTGCGCTGCGGGGAGCCACTAGAAAACTAGGAATTTGGAACTTTTAACGAATAAAATCAACAGCCTCCAGCAAAGTTTAATTTCACTTTAAACATTGATAGCCTGTTATCTTTCTTTTTACTTAAAATTCCACAGTAATGAAAATATAATTAATAGAATGGCAAGTTTGGCCCTAAAAGAAAATTGGGATATATGTCAGATATGTAAGGAGAACACGGATACCAAGGCTTAGATATGGGAGAAGCTCATAGACAGAATATTTTTTGGGCCGCGCAATGAATTCTAGGGAAAGCAGCCACACTGCTTTATTTTATTCCCATTCAATCATCTTTCTGTACCAACAGCAATATTTTAAGAGTGCGTCAATGCTACACAAACATAAATCTTCGATTTCTCACCAATAAAAGAGAACTCTTACCTTGTGATGAGGTTACACAGGGCATACTGCGCAGTAAAGGAGTGCTGATAAATCTGCAAGGAGAAAAAATAGTAAGGAACATTGGCATAGGAAAGCAAATAAAATCAAACTGAATTGCTGTGCTGTACTGTGGACAATAGTAATTTCAGTATAGGAAGAAAGGTTAATGTAACTCCAGTTTTCTGTATAATCTGCTGGTACAATGCTGCCCTGGGACCGAAAAGCATTTGCATACAAAACACATCATCCTGCATTTAAAGCTGAACTCTGGCACGCAAGCAACTATCAGGGGCGTCAGCTATGTAAATATAAAAGTCACTAATAAGTTAATGAACAAACCTCAACGTTTATATGATAATTCTGATGAAAAACCAGTGACGTTATTGTTGCATATGTTAAAAAACAGCTTCAGCTGGGCACACAGAGGAGGTATAATGGAGGTGAATACACCACATCTGTTCTTCTCCCAGGGCCATTATGACAGAGTATAGTTCCCATGACACCACAGCAATTTAAATGAATGGCGTGGAGAGGCCATGAATGACCAGGAGACTCCCTGCCTGTTAGTCAGGGAGGCAGGACAGACCAGTGGTCTCCTGACCTGTCAATCAAACAACGCTGTTACAGTGGGCAGCTCAGATCAGGAGGTTGAGACTCCTGGGTCTGCCCACTACAGGTAGTGGGGGACATAAATACATCACTGTTCACTGAAAAGGGCGCTCTAGTGCGAAGTGACAAGGCCAATGCAATAGAGGGCATAGCAACGACCGGTCTTATAAAATGGATGTGAGGGGGACTGAGGCCTGTAATTCAGGAATAGAACTATGGGTTTCTCACTCCCACTATACCTATGATTGGAAAGCAGAATTCTGCCCAGAGTAGCTTTCACAAGTTTGCTATGTATAACGCTAAAAGTTCTATCACAATTAACTATTATAAATGTATACAGTGCCATCCTCTCCTGTAGCAATGAACAAAGTGAGAGATACAAAAAGAAAATTTTTTGACAGGTGCAAATATTTGTATGGCAAAACACATATAGCAATACGCAATGTTTTAATAGGAGAGTAATGGCTGTACATTGCAAAGGAGAAAGGAATAAGTAAGCTGGATTTAAAGTCCCTGCCATGAGAAGTGTATACCATTGCTGGCCTCCCACTAAAAATTCTATTTCCCTCATTGAACGTTTTGAGTCACAGACCCGGTACATGCATGCTGTAAAAAAGTGTTAGAATTCCTTATCTCTATACCTAATCCTGGCCAGTAACCCAGAAAGCATTGAAGCCAAAGCATCAGCATGATGCCCTGATGAAGCCCTGGAAATAACTGTCTTAAAAGTATAAGATAGCAATTGCAGTCAGCATAATTTTCATGACAAGTGTACTTTAAAACCCAACTTCAGTCTCCCAGTTCACCTTCATATACTGTAAAGATTTTTTTACATACTTACCTTTCTTTTCCAGCTATCTTATGGCTGGTGACATGACATCCTAGGGTACATCCTCGTCTCCTTCTCTAGTGGTAGTAGCTGGTTCCTAATGCTGCAGAGAGTAGTCATAATGCTGTTCTCTGTACAATTGTATTGTGAGCCCAGAACAAGGTGATGATACCACCAGGGGTTCTGCCCATGATGTTCTGGCTGTGTGTCATTCCACCTGGTAGAAGACCCTTGTTGCGAGTCTATGGGGGACAGCTTTTGGGAGAACGTAAGTATTGTAGTGAAAGCTGTTTTTATTAACTAGTGCTGGGATACTTTAAAAATAAAAAATCAACATTGGAACTAGACTCTAAGTTACTCTGTGTACCTTGCCAGAATGTGGAAGAGGAAGCAGTGTTAGACAGGAAAATAATATTTTAGCTCCAGTTACATGCTTGCCTAAGGAGGCTTATTTTAGAGTTATCCTTTATTTTCCCTGTGAGCTTTCATCTCAAACCTCTTCTGCACAGTACTTATACATACCCTCCAAATGTACCATTTCTCTTTGTTATATACTATCCACAGTGAAATATATAGTTTTCTGAGCACACTCCAACACTGCTTTGACCACTCTTCTTTATGAATACATGCGCCTGCCACCCTATTGTCTGCATCTAAGGTTGTCATTAATGAGTGGGCAAGCCAGGTTGAGGAAATATTGATAGCTTTGCTCCTACATTTCTCTGACATGTACTGGATAATTAACCAAAGGAGACAAGCAAAGGGTATCCATGCGCAGTATAGGGAGACTTTTATATTCAACAAGTCACCAGTGAGTTCAGAAATAATCTATAAACTACAACTGCAGCTTGGAGATTGATTGATTGGTTGATGGATTGGCATGGGTTACTTTATGGGTGCATATGCATATTTGAAGGGTTGGAAGGAAAAGTTTGTGTGCAAATGTATGTTTGTTTGGAATTAACAGTTTGGGTAGCGTCTGGAAATTAGTAATGCAATGGAATTCTCCAGCTGCAGAAAAAGCTGCATTGCATTCCGTAGTTAATATCAAACACATACCTTTAGGATATACAATGAGTGGCCAGATTATTATGACCACCCCATCAGTACTTCGTTGGGCCACGAGATGACTCCACGAGATGACTTCGTTGGGCCGCCTCGTGACTCCAGACTCAGATTCACAGTGGACATGTGGACACGTTTTTTCCTCTGCAATTAGCAGATGGAAAGAGCAGCAACACACAGGAGGGACAATTTGACCGGGAACTGATGACTGCTACAAGCATTAACCCCACATACACAGTAAGTGCATGGGATATAAAACGCTTAAGTCAAACATGTGCTGTGTGGGCATGTTGTCACCTAATATCTCCTCCATGGATTTCTTTACATCCATCTTTTATTGTAACTATGCAGTACGAGCTGTCCAAATATCCAGGCCTTTATTTTGTCTCTAAGACAACCAGTGTGTTTGCTTTGCCTTCCTATTTTCAATGCACAGGGCGAGCTTGTAGCAATTGCCAGTCAGTCAGTATCAAGGCCAGTGTATTAACTCAGTACAGGTCCCCTTTACTGAAAACCGGAGACCTTCCAACTTCTGAAATCAGGAAAAGAGCAGGCAGGATAAAAAAAAAAACCAAAACATTAAATGAGTTTTTGAGTAAACATTGCTACTCTGTCAAAGGATAAAAATTTCAACCTGCATGCCAAGGCGTAGGAAAATGCAAGCTTTGCTTGAAAAAAAATAAAATAAACCATTTTCCATTAAAAATCACAACAGCTGCAATGCAAAGCCACCTGTCAATCTTAAAAATAGAAATATGAGAGGGATTAGAAAGTGGGAAAAAATCAATCTAGATCTTATTTCATGCGGCGTGCTGTTCACCGGCTCGATCAGCCAGGCTTTGATGCATTTACATGTTTTTTGACACTACATAAAAAATCAGGGAACGTCCTCATACATCATTCCCTCAGAATTAAACACTTTAGTGGGAAAATCAATCTATATCATATTTCTCGCTATGTGGAGCTGGACCCTTTTTAAACATTTTTGTTATGAGGTTAACTGTATGTGTGATAGAACATATGAAGTGCACCTGTCACATTCATACTTGTTCTGTCCTGCATTTAGGCAATAGGTAATTTGGCAAAATTAAACCTGTCCTGAGTTTCATTTTCTCTCCACCTTATTGCTTATAATCTCTTCCCAGAAAGACTCAGCTATGCATGTACCGTATAGAGACTCCAATATAAGCTGGAGTGTTCAAATGTAGTTTTGGCAGCTAGGCTGTTGCCAGTCTGAGTTTTGTTTGTTTACTTTATCTAGGTATGCTAGGTTTCTCCTAGACCCAGGACATTGTCTGCATCTCTCTGCTACTTAGAAGTGTTGTCAATTAGTTAGATTAAGAAGATATAAATAGTTGTGGGTTCATTGAGAGGTATGTGTTGGTGATGTAGTCTAGGGAAGGGAAGAAATATTTGGGGAGACCTTCTAGGAAGGTCCTTCCCTACCAGGATTTGTCTGGAGACAATGTGTGTGTGTGTGTGTGTGTGTGAAGGATCCAGTCTTGACCTCTCTGACCTGTTGCCTGTGGGAGGAAGTTGAAGAAGAGTCCTGCTTAGTCAATTGTCAGTCTCGGCTTAAAGGTTCACAATTTAATATTGCTGGTTTTGGCTTAAAGGTCCACAAATAAAAATTGCTGGCCTAAAGTTCTACAGCTAGATTGTGAGAGGGCTGAAGATACTTAAAAGGTAGATGTTGGTCTGGCCTACTGAATATGCTGGCCTACTGAATATCATAAAGATACTACAAGATACTATGCAGTGGAGGGAATTGTTAGCTGCTGTTTTGGAGTACCCTGTACCCCCAAACCTCTCTCCCCTGGACATCTGAGTAAATAAAATAGCAAAAGATATAGTGGAAGTCTGTCTGTCACTGTCGGTGGGTCAATGAGAGTCTTCTTGCTGATACAGGGCAAATCATTAATAAGAAGGCTAGGAGGACCCGTAAAACCCAGCATCTTCTTAAGGAGTCATTGCTACACATGCTATAAGGTAATTTACTCACATAGAAAACAGCAACTGTTGAAGCAGTCACTGGGCAAGTGATCAATGGACCACACTTGTAAATGGCCAGAGTATCACACAATATGTTGGTCAACTAAGATGTAGAAAGGAAGATCGTCTGTTACCCTAACCCCTGCAATCCAAATGCTAAAATTCACTCTGTCCAGTATAAAGTACAAAAGGACCTCTTACCCACTCCACAAGAAGAAAATATTCCCTTGTCAGTTGAATTGCCTGAAGGAGAATCAAAGTGCGAGGACAGATATTAATTGCCCAGATTACTTGAACAACAATGTTATCCAGGGGAAGGGGTGTTACATGTTGACATCTCCAGATGTGTGATCTTGTGTAAAACTTTATGGTACTTATTATTATTATGCTATGTGATCACTTGTTTGTTCTCTCCTTGCTGCTTCAACTCAGTCATTCTGTCAACAGTATATGCATACTACCTATCCATGCTATCCACCATATTTACCCATTGGTACTGCAATGTGATGAAACCCTGTTGTTTAGCATTGAAATGTCTACTTTCTTGGGAGCAAAGGT